AGCAGCTTCCGCAGGCAGCGCGGCCGGCGCCGCGCGTCGGACTGCCGTCGGGGCTAGCGCCCATGGTGAGCGCTCCTCCCCCGCGCGCTGCCTCGCCGCGCCACCGCTCCGTGCCTCTGCTCGGGCCTGGGGGCTTTCCGTCGCCCTGTCGGCTTCCGTCGTCTTCTCGCCCTCCCTCTCGCCCTCCCTCTCACCCTCCCTCTCACCCTCCCCTCTCACGTCCGCCCGCCCTCCGCCCCGCCCTCCTCGCGCAGCCGCTCACGCGGAGCGTCGCCTCGATGGAAGCCCTCGACGTCCTCTCCTCCTCCTTCGGCTCGAAGTGAGAATGCGAGGCATGGCCGCCTGAGACTGACAGGCAGCCACTCGCAGGGCAACCGCATCCCAGCGGAACCAGCAGCAGCTAGGCTCCGCCCGCCGCCCACGCCGCTGCTCGCACGCCCCGCGCCTCCCCCCGCCATGATGCGATCCTTGTTGCCGCGACTAGTTGTCGCGCGCCTCATCTTCGCCACGCCCCGAGCGCCTCCCGCCCGGTCCATGCGCCGTCTTTCTCGTGTGTAGAATATTTAGCCGCGCGCACGATATTTTTGCATCGATTTCCGTTTGCTCTGTGTGTTTGAGACCCATATGGTGTATTGCCTGCATGTGTAGTCGAAGAAGTATAGCCTGTTGTTCAAATTCCACGATGAGCGCCCGCGCCCGACAAAGATGAAAGACCAAAGCGACGCCCTGGCGACTGGCGGGCACAATCCACAAAGGCTTTGCGCGCGATTCAAAGGACAAAGATCGCAAAAGGGTTGTTGTGCGAGTATATGGGACAAAAGCGTCGAAAATGTCCCAAAAAAGTTCGCGCTCGACCTTCTACTTCCTCGTGATCCACCGCCGCCACCCTCGCCTCGCCCCCCCGCCGCCTAGCCGCTCGCCTGCCGCTCGCTCGCACGTTCGCGCTCGACCTTCTACTTCCTCGTGATCAACCCGCCGCCTCGCCGCTGCCTCGCCCGCTCGCGCCCGACTTTCTACCTCCTCGTGACGCCGTGCCGTTTGTCTCGCCGTCCGAGACGTCCTGCCTGCCGTCTGCTGCCGCCGCGCCGCCTTACCGCCGACCCTTTCCCCGCCGTCCAATGCTCCGCCGTCCCTTCGCCGCTGTGGTCTGCCGTCGCGCCACCGTTCCTTACCGTGTCGCTCCTTCCTCCGTGCCGCGCCGCCCTTGCCGTTTAGCCTGCCGTACCCCCGTTCCTTACCGTGCCGCCCCTTCCTCCGTGCCGCGCTGCCCTTGCCGTTTAGCCTGCCGTACCCCCTGCCGTCCGTAACCGCCGTGCCGCCATACCGCCGCTCCTACAGTGCCGCGCCCGCCGTACCGTATGTCCCGCCGTCCGATGTCCTGCCTGCCGTCTGCTGCCGCCGCGCCGCCTTACCGCCGACCCTTACCGTGCCGCGCCGCCTTTACACACACACCTTACTTTCTGCTCGACCGAGTTTGCGCTGATGAGCGAACCGAGCCGCCGGGTGCCCCGCAGCGGCC